TTGTACCTTAGATTCTGTAGATTTAATAACTATTCATAGATTTGCAAGAAAAACATGGCAATATATGGATTTATATAGGTATAGAATTACAGGTAAATTAGCAGAATATGCTGTTAAAAAATACAAATCACATAGAAAAATTTCTGAAAATGTATTAAAGAAATTAAATAAAATAAATTAATAAATTTCATTTATTTTAATACAAAAAATTTAATAAATTAAAACTCAATAAATTAATGATTTGATATTTAATAATGTGACAATTTTAATTCACGTGATGATTTTTAATTAGATAAAGATCACGTGACAGGTCTGTGATCGGCAAAAAAAAATTCAGACTGTTTGCCTTTTAGATGACCTGCACCATATGTTTTAAAGATCAGCTTAAATTTTATTATAGTGCTAGTCAAATTTAAATACGAATTTATTACATTACCTGATATGAATTTTTTACTACAATTTAGTATTTTAACAAGCAATCAAACAGATGCAAAGGGTAAGTATTTCAATATAGAATCTAGCATTCAACTAAGCACAGAAGGCCAGTACTCTTAATATAAAACCAGGTATTTAAATAGCTACAGATGACTAATAACTTCAATATAGAAATTGATATGCAAAACACTTAGAAACAAGAAGAAAAACATTATATGATGGTAGTTAGATTAAATAGTGAGTAGTAGTTAAGTTATATAGTGATAGAAATGATGAATAATAGAAAAGGTTAAAAGAGATAGCTAGAGTATAAAATAGATACCCAATATATAAAAATATAAAGATTATATGGTGATATCTAGATTATATTATTTAGATTATATAGTAGTATTTAGATTATATTATTAGATTATATAGTAGTAGTGTTAACATGTAAACTTTTCAGATTGCAACTGTTAGACATGATATTAGAGGGTTGACTCTTTTATAGTCTACATATAATGGCGATCAAAAGTATTACATCACTTTCACATTAAATTTAAGATATAAATTATGAAAGTTAGCATAAAAAATTTATATTTATTTTAAACCCTGAATCTTCAGCATTATTTTAAAATAATTTTTTTGCTTAATTCATAATATAATTTCGTATAAATTGTTTGATTTACAAAATATTAGATTTTTAACTTTTTATTTAGAATAATGACAATAAAAATGAATACTTAATTTTCATTTTTTAAGTAATTAAGAGTTTGCATTTCAAATATTGTAAAAACTGGATCATTAGTTATAGAGAAATTAGCTTTTAAAAATCATAAAAATTACTAAAAATCACTATTTTACATATGTATAACATTGATTTTTGTTAATTTTTATAATTTTTAAAAGCTGATTTCTCTATAACTAATGATTGAGTTTTTACAATATTTGAAATGCAAACTCTCAATTACTTAGAGAACGAAAATTAAGTATTCATTTTTATTGTCATTATTCTAAATAAAAAGTTGAAAATCTAATATTTTGTAAATAAATAATTTATACGAAATTACATTATAAATTAAACAAAAAAAAATATTTTAAAATAATGTTAGAGATTCAGGATTTAAAACAAATATAAATTTATTATGCTAGTTTTCATAATTTATAGTTTAAATTTAATGTGAAAGTGATGCAATATTTTTGATCGCTACTATATATTTCTAATTATTTTTACGCTAAATCTTAATTATTTTACTTAGTAATTTATTGAAATAAGTTAAGTTTACTAAATACAAGTGACTTTAATTACAAATTAAGAGTTGTCATAGTAATTTACAAAGAGTTTTATGTAAGAAATATGAAATATTTTATTGAAATAGAAAAGAAATAATAAAATAATAATATATAGAGGAATAAAAGAATAAAAATAAGAAAAATAAAGAGACGAAAAGAATATACGAAAGGAAAAGTAGTATTATGCTATCTTTTACAAAAGAGAGATTTCTATATAGCTATCAGTCTATCTTTTTTAACTTATAAAAGAGCTTGTATTTATATCTTTTTCACTACATATTTTGACATATTTAATATATTAACTATATTAACTATATTAGACATATCTAATATGCTAGATATATTAATTATATTAAACATGTTAAACATGTTTAATATGTTTGATATTTTTGACATTTTGTATTCTGCCATACATTTATAGATCTATGATTGTTAAAATCATCACTTAGTCACAGTAACTATATTATAGAGTGACATTTAGATTATATAGTGGTATTTAAATTATATAGTGATACTATAATCTAAGACAAGTGAAATACTACTATATAATATAATTATATTATATAGTGATATTCTACTAATATAAATCAATGGTTTTTTAAAAATAATACTTTTAAATAAAATTTATAAAATTAATTAGTTAATTAATAAATTTAATTTTAAAAATTTGTTAAACTTATTAAATTTTATTAGTAAATTTGTTTATAATATTATAAATTTATATTATATAAATATTTTACAAATAAAATTACTAAAAAAATTTTTTTACTTTATACTTATAAATTAAATATTATTTTTTTAATAAATTTAAATTTAATATTAACTTAAAAATATTTAATAGTTTTCTTTTTTATTGCAAATATAGTCACTTTTAATATAGCGAACTCTTAATATAATGAATTTTTTGAACAAATATAATAAAAATACTCTTATTATATCAAATTAGCTAATCAAATCTTTTAAAATCTTTATTATAGTCTTATAATAAAGTTAAAGTTTAAGATATAGGATTCGTTATAATAAGAGTTGACTGTATTATATATAAAATTAAAATTAATATTTAAAACTATAATTAATCTTAAATATAATATATATAAAAAGATTTCTAAGAAAATTAAATTCTGAGAAAATTAAGCGCTCAATGTATTTTAATCTAATATAATTAAAAAATAAAATGCAATAAAAAATTTTAATTTTATTAAAAAATTTCTAAAATCTAATTTTCTAATAATTAACCTATATATTATATATAATTTTTGCAATTCTAAGATAAAGATATAAAATATAAAATTTATTTTATAAAAAATAAAAGGTTAAAAATATAATACAAAGTTATATTGAATATTATTATTAGATTATTATTATAAATTTCAATTTGTTAATATATTAAAAAATTATCGTATAATTCCAAAAATAATCACTATGTAATATATATAAATTTATTAGTATATATATGACTAATAATATAATAAATTATATGTGACAAATAAATAAATTACTATAAAAAGAATATGTTATAGAATGCTTTTATATAGTAATATATAATAATTCTTTTAATAATAAATAAAATCTAAATAAATTTAAAAGATATAAAAATTTTTTATTATTATTAAATTTTTTATAATTAATAAAATTTGATCTTAGTAATAAATTTATAATAGTAAATAGCTAGTTTAAATATAATTACTTTTTATTTTTTGTAATTCACAATTAATTTTTAAAATTATAAGCATATTTATTTGCAAAACTATTTAAGAAATAAGTTCTTAAATTTTACATAAAAATTATTATAAATATAATAATATAAAAATAAAAAAATTATAATTTATAATTTCTAATATATTCAAATAATTTAGTTTACATATATTAAATAATATAACTAAATAAACTTTTCTAAAATTAAGAAATTATTAATACATTTTCAAATAATTTAATTTACATATATTAAATAATATAACTAAATTAACTTTTCTAAAATTAAGAGATTATTAATACATTTTTTATATATTTAATATACTGACATTAACTGAAATAAACTTAAAAATTTTTTTAAAAATTTTTTTATTTATTAATTTAAAAAATGTGATTTTTTTTTTTTTAAAAAAAAATTTATTAATTTTAATAAATTATTTTTAAATTTTTAATTTTAATATTTAAAATTATATATAAAAAAATTATTAATTAACAATTATATATTATTTTTATTATTTTCAATTTTATATGATAGGTTTATTTGGATTATATTAATAAAATGAAAATTATGATTTTAAATTATGAAATTAATGAATTGATTTCATTTGATTGTGTTATTTTTTTGTAAAATCACATATCTTCCTTTTGGAATAACAAAATATATTTCTTGTTTTTAATTAACATCCTAGACTTGAATTTAATAATATTAATTGTCAGCTAATACTTTCAAACAGTAGGCTGGCTTATTAAATCTCTCAAAGATAATTGTGGGTTACTATAATGAAGTTAGAGAATTAAACTTATTTCACTGGAGTATAATTATCACTTTTTTCTGATTGAACTTTAATAACAATTGTTAATTTTATTGATGATACAAAAAATTTTGAATGTCAAATTTAAAATATGCGAAATTTACACGACATAAATATTATTAAATGCCAAAAAACCAGTTTTGTAATGACATCAGCTACAAAGAAAAATTTTAATATTGTCATCCTCCCTTTTGACCTACATGAACGACCGATTATTGGTTCTTGATTTTGTAATTTATTAAATAATGTTCAGGTTTTTTTGGCATAATGGAAAATTTTCAAAAATTCAAAACCCTTTTTCTTCCGTCGTAATGATAAACACCGTTACTACTGTCGTATCACTTGAGAGTTATTTAGTTCGGATTATCTATGCGTGGGTACAAAAATCTGAGAATTTATGCCTTTGGGGATTTTAATAACAATTATTCATATCAATCACAATTGGTCATAATCATGCAGTATAATAAAAATATATATATATAAAAAGTTCTATATAAACAATTTAGAATTCATTATTGAGGTCTAGATTCTCATAAAAATTACGATCCCATCTATGAACTTTTCTTTAAAATACTTTTTTCATAATGTTAAAATATTCGATAGTTATAGTAATGTATATTATAATAAATTTAATAAGTCTTATATTATTATCAATATTAATTTCTTCATTATTAAAATCTGAATCTCACCTTACGAAATGGACATTATTTCAATTATTCATTTCAGCATTTGGTCATGTATTTTCCACTTTATCACCAATCCTTATTTACGGAAATGAATTAACGGATCATGGGTTTGATAGTCCGATTTGTATCATATCAAATAAAGTTACAACTTTTGCATCATACCCTTTACAATTTTTTCCATTAGTCATATCGTTTTATTTATGGTACGTGCTAGTCAAGCAAGATCTTGAAATCGAAAAGAGATGTTTTTGGTGGGTTTCTGCTATAATTTGGTTATCCACCATAGTGTACACCATTTCAGAGATAATATTGTCGACTAACGAAGACAATTGGGGGGTTTTGATTTCTTCATTTAATTGCAAGGGATCTAAAAACAAGAGAAATTTTTACGGTTATGCAATTCCAACAATATCGCTGGTATTTGTGGCGCTGATAATGACGTGTAAGCATAAAGAAATGAATTCACTTTGCTTTTGAACCTCTCTCTATCACAAAAAGTTCACCGTTTCTCCTATCTTTAGGTCATACTTCAGTTATCTTGTATAACCGATGGAAGAAATTTAATGACAATATGAACAGGACAACAGCGATTAAATTAGGACGGGCGGTTCGATTGAACATCCTCTGTATTTTGTACATAACATATTTGTTATTTACACTCATACCTCGTTTCATAAGTCATCACAGTAACCTTCCATCATCTTCATATTTAGGTAATTTTATGAGCGCATCAATGTATGTAGTAAATTTTTTAAAGAAATTTGTATTTATCCATTTTACCCATCCATTCATCTTTTTTTTTTTTTTTTTTTTTTTTTTTTTTTTTTTGGTGGGAATTTGTTTTTTTTTGTTTTTTTGGTGCAGTT